AACAGAGCTTTCTTACAACCTGAAATACAATCTCCTAGAGGTCTCTGAAGAAGCTCGTGATGATCCAGTACATGATCCAGTGGATATAGTTGTCTAAGCTGCAGTTGTGTTCACTGGACAGTCCGCACTGGGCTATAGGAAGCAAGGAAGGCTGTTGTAATGTGCTGTAGCTTTTAGGGATGGAGGGTGCCAATAGACTTTAACAGCTCCTGACTCACCTCACCTGGGACCTCTACTCACAGCCTCTGCCCATCTGGCCAGGGGCTCCATTTAAGCTCTGGCCTTAGCATTTGCTCCCTGCTTGGGCTGTGCTGTGGGAACATGTGTCTCTAGTCTGGTCTTGGCGTCCTTGCTGGACCTTGGACCTGTGTTGTATCTTTGTCTTGTCTTGTCTCTAGCTTCTGGATGTGATTCAGTACCTTGGTAGCAGGCTGTAAGGAGGTACTGTGAGGCTGTGCTGTAGTTGCAGCTCCTGGGGACTCCCTGCTATGGAGGAGCACTTTTCTTGCAGCTCCCCTCTGGCTGTTTGTCTAGGTTCTTTTTCAAGGCCATCCAGGTAATGAAGCAATGACCTATGTTGTGAAGTTAAAGTGGAGCTAAGGCAGAGCCAGAAGAATATTTGAGTTATGCAGTATAAGCTTTCCAAAAGCTTTTAGGAGGGCTTATCAATAAAGTAAATCTTAAGATTGAGAAATCCTGTAGGGGAAATGGTGCAGGCAAGCAGTTCCTTTTCCTAATGGGCCATCAGAGCATCTCAGAAATGTATTGTGGCATCTGTATGTATCATCTATAAGCACTGAAGAAGGTGAATAGTGAAATAACAACTGGCAGATGCTGAAACAAAGTTTTAAGATGGTTCAGGCTAAAACTGGTGCATCACTTCTCAGCACAGGTTACAGAACAGGCTCTTCATGCTTGCAAGTGTTTTCTGCCGGAAGCAGTTACTGGTCTGTACTGTGCCGACAGGGATCCAAGGAGTGAACAAGCTGTGAGTGGTGATGGGGAGTTCACTACTGTTTCTAGAAACATGTCCTGCTTGCATAAATGGCAAACCACTAGAGAGCAGCATTAGATCAGGGCTTCTATTAATGTACCTGAACAACTTGTAAATAAAACAAAGTATTAGGGTGATGTTTGCAGTTGAACACTGGTTTCAGATCAGGTTTTATCAGAACCAGGATAACTATAGACCAGCCAGTCCCATTTGACTCAGCCCTTGGGTACTTAGATACTCAAATACTGAAACCAACCTTTGTAGCCTGTCTCCAGGAACCCAACTTTCCCCATGCATCAAGTTCAAAAACTATAGTAAAGTTCTCTTCTGCCTATGGCTACTGCAAACCAGATAAAACCAAGTTAGCTGTAAAAGTTTCAGCTGATTCTTGTCTCTAGCCATCATCTCAGGTTAAGGCTCCCTGACACCTGGAGTTATCTCCAGCTGTGTCCAACTTTTTGGATTTGCACCTCTCCTTTCTAACGTTATGGTATCATTCTGACACTGGAAAGCTAAAAGATAAATAGTGGCAAAATAGCAGAGATCACACTGCTGCTGGAGTGGTTTAGGAGGAACAGAGTCCAAACACGCATTGGTTTCAAACTAATTTCAACATATCTCAGTATTTACACTGGAGAGTTTCTCTTTTAAAGAATAAATCTTCTGTTTGACTAAAAACATACCTAAAATGTGGAAATATGTCCATATATGCATGGCATAAGATACTTAACCTACACGAAAACTAACAAATTCTAGTAAAACTTGCATTCAAGTGTTTACGTATCAAGCATATACTATGCTCAATAGTAATCTTTTCTATGAAAAGTTTGCTTTTGCTGCCTGGTAACTGGAACGAAGTAAGGACTAGGCATCAGGGACCAGAAGTAAAAAATCTTATTTTTGTGATTTTGACCTGTTCTACAAAAGCCAAAACATTTTTTTGCACTTGATCAAGGTCAATGATTTAATTATTCTAAACTGATTAACTAGCTGGCATCTGAAAAGCAGGAAAGCTCATTTTCTTCTCCCAATCAGTAAATGATGAGGCATGAATTGCATGCTTTCACTAATCCTAGCATCCTGAAGGACACAGTATCTGTAAACAGGTAACTGTTAAATAACATCATTTTAAACACAAAGGAAGTTTTGTGCATGTTTTTATTACTTAACTCTTTTCAGCCTGTTTTAGTGTAGTATAGTAGTTTCATTTAATGGCTACAAAGTTATTTTAAAATGCTTTTCAGCAGAATCTGATTTCTGTTCGAATTCAGCATCACACAAAACAGGTTTAAAAAGAATTGCCATGTAGTAAGTGCAATGCTTTCCATTATTGTGCCTCATTAAATTAAGACTCTTTCTGTAGTATGAACAATTGGCCTGCTTAAACATGTAGAGATAACTGTGAATCCTCCAGAAAAGTAATAAGCTTCTTAAGGTGAATACACAGCTGAGTTAGGGCAACTGCTTGTTCATTAGCAATTGTCAGCATAACCTTTTGTGCAAATAGCTGTGAGAAACTGAGCATTAGGGTGATATTCCACTGGATCCTTAGGCAGTCACATGGCCTTTCACTCTCCTGAATGTGGTTTCCCTTGGGGTTCACACACTCTAATGCTTTAGCCAGGAAAAATGCCCTCTGTTTTTTCTCGTTATGGAAAGATCATTGGACTTGCTATTCCTGTTGCTTCTGATTATACCTGTTACTGATACAGGGAAAAAACCTATACTTGAACACCAACAGGTGTTTGGGTTTTCTACCTTTGTCATTTAATACTCTGCCAAGAGGGACTTGGATTACATGGTGAAAGAAGTGCTCATTCTCTGCTGCGGAACGAAGGTGGAACTAAGTAAGCATCACTAAGAACGTGATAAACATCGTATTAAAATTAGTAACAAAGAGCATCGATAAAGTATCTGGCAGATCAAGGACAGTGTGGCTAAGAATGAGAAATGTCAAAAGACAGTGTAAGAAAAAGCGTACAGGCGAAAGCTATGTAATCAAATTATTTTGATAGATAATGAGACCGAGACCTGAACATTATTCTGCGAGAATATCAAAGCAGGCAACATCAAAAAAGAAATCTGCATCTACGAGACAACTTCTGATAAGATGTTATCAGCTGATAGGGGACTTCAGTCTATTAATTAGCCTTGCACAATACCCAGTTCTTTCTGGCAGTCAGGAGAATGAATTAAAGCATGGGATAAATCTCCTGACTCAAGGGTTACTCTGGTCTGTGGTCTGCAACAGGAGTCAGTAAGGTATGACAGCCTTCCATGGAATGGATATTCAAATCTGAGTGACAGAACTTCAAAGGGCCCTTCTGGTTCTCCTTGCTGCACACTCAGAGTGACCTAGCTCCAGGCTCCGCACCGTGATCCGGTCTTGTTCTCTCACTTTTAATAACTTCTAATAACTTCTGCTCTCTCCCCTGTCATTTTGCAATGTATAGCAACAGAAATGTGCTCCTGTGACTCCCTCAGTCTCTCTCTTGAACCTGATCTTGAATAAATATGGAAGTTTCTCAAAACTGTACAGGAGGATCTCTGCTTACCAGTGTAACAAACTAATGAGGACTTCTGAACTTCATCCTCCTATCAGCCAAAGCAAAAGGGGCCCTTTATGTCTGCACCTCAGTATTGCAGTATAATTTACATGGAAATTATAACTGTAGATTAATTGTGGAAGTCACAGAAATGTGGAATATTTTAGAAAGTTTAGGAACAAACTATTAGTAGGGTAAAACAAAAATATTAGTAGCAAAGCCTGACATAATATCAGCTAAAATTTTCATAGCAAAGTACTCCTTAAAAACAAAGTACCAGCCCATATATCGATCTTGAAAGGTACCCTCTGTCATCTCAATCTTCTGTGAATCACACAGATTCCTCTGAATTTTGCCTTTACAGGCAATTCCAAAGGTTTTCTTGCTTGTTTCTTAAAGATCTGGTGGAACAAATCCTTAGGGTTTTCTATTGCATCTAGGTATTTGTGCAGGGACTGAAGCTAGGAAGAGAAAGCAACATCTGCCTGCCTATGGTGGTGTTCACGTGACTTCAGCATGAATATTCCCCATCCCTGGAAGTGTTCAAGGCCAGGTTGGATGAGGCTTTGGGCAACCTGGTGTAGTGGACGGCCCTGCCTGTGGCAGGGGGGTTGGAACTAGATGATCTTTGAGGTCCCTTCCAACCCTAACCATTCTATGATTCTGTGATTCTATGATTCTCATTGTGTGGCTTAGTCTCGTAAGACTAAGACATGGGTTTTCTAGGATTCAGCCTGCCTTTCTAGGCTTGTTTCTCTTCATGGACATCAAAGGAAGGAGGCTTCCCAGAAGGTGGGAAGGCAAAACTCTGGAAGATGGTGGGTTTTTTTATTTGTAGACTCCAGAAAGACACACAATCACAGCCAGTGATGATTATATTGCAAGATATGGTATTGGAAAAACTATTTCAACTGACAATCAGATTCATCTCTGGCTCCAACAGATTTCCAGTGGGCCTGGCCAGCAATGCCTGTCTGAGAGCTGTGCACAGAGCGGGCAGGCTGGCAAATGGGCTCTGCAGTGTGGGGTGGCTTCTGGCAGCAAGCTAAGGAGTTTCTAGGACAGGTAGTTAGTGTGGATGGATCAAAGAGTTCCTTGACATTGAGTTTTGCTGTAAACAGATTGCTACGGGAAATCCTGTCCCTTGGTCAGCAGTGAAGTGACCTGCAGCAGCCCATGGGTTCTTCTTAGAATTAAAGATGAGTCACTTTAAGGTTGCTGGATTTTCTTTCCTATTGCTCCACTTCCTCTGTTTTCTGAAGATAAATAAGAAATGAGAGCCTGGAAATTCTCTTGAGAGGTCCTGCAGATTGTTTGTTTTGTGAAAATACTTCTTGTTATCTAATTTTGTTACACTTGTTAACAACAGCAGCAGCTTTCCCATAAAACTTGCCCCAAGTAAACCAACCACAGCTTTGAGAACTGAGCTGCAGAGCAGAGATCATCTCAGAAACTTGAAGATGAAGTACTTTCTTCTGCCAACTCATTTAGCATTTCTCTATAGCTTTGCACTAAGTAAACCTGTCCAGGTGTGTCCTTGCTCTCAGATGTTTAGAATTTACATTGCTGCTGCTGAGTTGCTCTGATTATCTTAAAATTAGTTACAAACTTTTACTGCTGTGATTCTACATGACAGAATTTTTCTGCTACGAAGATAAGCATATATTAAAAGATATGCTCTTTTTTTTTTTCCAGATAGCTACAAGAAGCAATGACTTTGGTGAGTTTGACTGTAATTATTATATAAATAACTGTAGATTTCGCTGGAGCTCCTTCTCTATACCTCATTCTCATTATTTGGTATATTTTTCTCTTTCAAAATATTTTCCAGCATCGGTGGAAAACAATTCACATAATTCAGATGTGTTTTAAAGTTGCATTCACTGTGATTATTTATGCTGTCATGATAAAGAAATTAAGAAGACTTATTGAGCAATTGCTACATGGAATGTTCTTTTCCATATGTAGCCTCAGCAAATCAGAATACTTTTCACTTTGATTTCTTTCCTATGTGATATAAGGCACTTCCCTGCCTTCTGTACCCAAAACTATTGTACATTTTTGGCATAATAACCAGTAGCTCTTGTCTGTGAGAAATGTATTCCAAGCATTTTGGAATCAGAACTGAGGAGCATGTCAGAATGGTTTATGTCAAATTAACAGTTAACTTGAAAATTAATAGCTTGCATGCATTCAATATGCACGATAAAAATAGTAATTTCTTTTGTATGATTCATCCCATTTCTGTGGAGGTCAGTTATGACTTTTCTTTAATTCCACAAGCTCTAACGAAGAGATAAATAACTTAAAATACTTAGCCTTCCATGCTGAAGGCTCCTGAAGCTTCTTAAGTTAAAATATATTTAGCCGTGACATTGATTATAGCTGTGTTATGACATCTGTATTAATATTAATCTTTTCTATCCAGGAAGTAAGGCAGACCTAACCAGTCTTAGCATATTGTGAATGCCTGATTCACTCAGTCTTAATTTACTATTTCTTTTTCACCTTACTGGGAAATGAACTTCAGTAAAAGAAATTTCCAGAACTACAAAAGCTTGGTTAATGTATGTATACCTCTCATCGCCCTTTCGCACATCTGTTTGCCTTCTCAGTGCCCTGCATGTGCTTTATTTATTTCATCTGCCAGGTAGTGAAATAGCTGTGTATGAAGGAGACATCCTCTTGAGAAGAGGGCGACGCAGTGCAATTAACTGTGAGAGTTGTTTATGGCCCAAGTCACAAGATGGACTAGTCAAGGTTCCAGTTAACATCTCGCCTGATTTCTGTGAGTGTGTGCAAATGGCTGCTGTACAGTTAGCACTGATCTCCAGTCCCTATACCCTCTGTTATTCTGTGTTTCTGCGGCATGCACCAAGAGTGATCTTTGTCCAAATGAGAATTTATTGACATGTCTCTTTTGCTAATCTGTTAGCCTTATGGTAGTTTGGCTAAGACTCTAAACATTTCACTTATGGACACTAAAATATGTGGTTACTTGGGCAGTAGTTGTTACATAAATACCAGCTAATTAATTTTAATTACAAATATTAGCTCATTCCTACTAGCTACATTGCACTTTGATATTTAGCAAGTAAGAAGAAGAAATGTAATTTGTTCACATTAGGAATGTATTTTTGTCAAAATTACTGCTAGGGACACTTTTTTTAACACTATAATTTTCTTTCAAATCTCTTACAGAAATATTCCCACAGTAGAAATCCTGTAGAGGCAAAAACAGAGGAAAAATCCTTGGAGATATTTTTTCCTTTATTATTTCCCTCTAGTCAGTCAATGGCTCTGCCCTGTGCAAAAGCCTGCAGGACCGATGCCTTAATTGAGAAAATTTTGTTCCAGAAGGCTTCATATGGGCTATGCAGGTCTTCCATCTCTCCCCCTGTTGAGGCTTATCTGGACTGAGGCTTCCATACAGACCCTTCTTAAAAGATCTTACCTTGAGATAAAATGGCCATGGAAGTGAAATACAGCCTGTGCCTGATTCCTCTTCCTGGGGAAAGGGAATCTGTGTTATCATTTGAGCTGAGGAAAGCCCAGTCTCTGTGGTATCTAGACTGGTCCTCTGCCCCTGTGCTTCTAGAACTGCAGCATATACTCTTGTGGTTAGGTGAGCGTTATTCCATCTACCTCCATCTCTCCAAATTTTAAACACGAGGAAATTGAGATACAAATCAGCTGTAAATTATTCATAACTGAGGAAGCCAAATTAGGCCAAAGTGTTCAAAAGTAGATAAACACTCTGATCTTTATTTGGTACCTGAATAGAAACACTGTGATCTTCAGAGCCTCTGAACGCTGGCTGTCTCAAGTGATTCCAAGTGGTGTGAGGCAGACATTTGTTATCTCTGATAAACAAAATAGGTTTTTGGTGCTTAGCTACAGTCAGATGGCTCATTTGGGATACTTTAATCCAATTACTTGTATCTGAAATGGATTCATTTTTTCCATTCTGTCTAATGGGAGAAACAATGCCAGTCTTTTGCTTTCCATCAGCTGTCTCCTATAGATTATGCATAAGGGCCACCTATAATTGTTACATCTCCCCTTAAAAGTTCAGTCAACTTGAAGATCTCTGAAGGCTTTGTGCCCTTTTTTAGTTATACTTGTATGATAAAAAGCGAATGAGTGCTGTGAAGCATTAAAGGAGTACACCTCATCAAAGCACCTTGGTTTTGATTAACCAAGGAAGATTTCTCCTGGCCCCTTTCTCTTTCTAGCAGTGACAGAGAGGTCTTGGATTGCTGATGCTCTGCAAGAGATCTCCACCCTGACCTGTGTGCAGTTTGTAAATCGCACTACAGAAACAGACTACGTATATGTTGAACGTGGGCAGAGGTAAGCTTCCTGTGTCCTGGGAGTGGAAGCACTCGAAAGGTCTTTCAGCTTCTTTTCTGTTTTGATCTGGATTTAAGTTATGGCCCTTTTTTATCCTAGGAGTCAAGACTCAGAGAGCAGGTGCAATTTTTCATTTTTCTTTAGATATACTGGTAGTTATGTCAGTTAATAGGCCGCAGGAATAAATGTGTATGTGGACTTAAAGATAACAGGGTATAATTCAATATGAGATATTTTCCTTAATTGTTGTAAAAATTTAAAGAAGTGAATGGTTTCAGGTTCTTTGCTCAACTACTTAAGCTGATTCGTCTTAGCTTGATATAGCCATTTTGGTGTTTTGAAATTTGTCATACTCATCACAAATGCTTTATTTCTCCCCCCATGCGGTTTGGCAGCTTTTGGAAGCCTAGATATCTCACACCAGTGACAATTTGCAGGACCCCTTCTGTGCCTGCACATCTGGAGGCCCTTGGTATCATAATCATCTATTTCTCTGTATTTGCTGAATGTGAATATTTTGGTTATTGATTGCCTATTCTTAGCTGCTGGTCTTACTTTGGAAAAATTGGAGGACGTCAAGCAGTAGGCCTGGTGAAAAATGGTTGCATGGATAAAGGAGCAATTCAGCATGAAATGAACCACGCGCTGGGTTTCATCCATGAACAGGCACGGAGTGATCGGGACAGGTTTGTCAAGATTATGTGGGAACACATTGTGGCAGGTATGTCCACTAAATCTTAAAAGAAAACGTATACTTTCAGATAAAGAATGTTTCTTCTGTGAACAGCAATGCAAGTAAGTGTTGCGGACTGCCTGTGTCTTCTTCCAATGGGTCGCAACCAACCGACTGTTGCGACCACAAGGTATCTCACAATCAGAAGGCTCTTCTAAACTCACTGCTATCTTAGTCCAACAGAGAGCTCCAACTCTCACTCTCTAGGGGGCTCCTGCCACTCCAAACTCCAGGAGGGAAATGCCCCACTCCCTCTTGGGAGTGCCCCGCCTTTATCCATCCATGAGTCACGTGGTTTCCGGTTGACCAACGTGACTCACAGCACCTGTCCTAACAAGGCACAGGTGCTTTCTATTGTAGCAGCCGGGAAACTTCCCGACAAGTAAGAATCATGATTAATGCTGGCTGAGTTGCAGCAGCAGCACATTCAGTGCGATGAAATTTCTTGTTCAGTGTTTATATTAGGGGAACTTCTGTGGCTACAACTATGTTAGTGTGGTCCTCTGAGGCAGATGCAGCCTAAAAGTAGCTCTACATTCTTGTCTTGATTGGCATCTTGAGCCCAGACTCACCTTATATCCAAAATACCAAGATCATCAGAACCGCAAAACGTTGTAGCAAAGACTTGGCCAGGAGGCAAGACTATGGGACTCTTTAGCTGAGATGGGGTCAAATGTGACATTCAGAGATCATGGTAGGGAATCGCACACCAACTCTATCTCTGGAAAAGCCAAGGAAATAGGGGAGGCAGCAGGTAGGCATGTTGGCACTGGCAGTGAGTGAAATGCACGTAGCTTGAAATGTAGATGAACAAAAGACTCAACGCAGAGAGAATGGAAGCACATGCTACCACCAGCACGTGCAAAATTCTGAGAACTGGCATGACGTGAAAAGAAGGACTGCAATTATTTCCTCCCAGAGGAGAGAATAGACACTGCCATGAAAAGCAGGAGCAACAGGGAGCAATCAGGACTGGTAAATCTGCAGGGGGAAAACAAGTGAATGTTATTTAGGGAAAGGAATGCAGGAGGAATAGTTTGGGCATGTGCCCTTGGTCTGTGTGCTGGGAACACGGCAGCATATACAGAGCTCCAAGCTCTGGGGAGGGGAGAGTAGAGACACTGGTAGAAGGTCTCAGGGAAAGTGAGAAAGTGGTACATAGAAGGAAAGTAGAGAAAGAAAGGATGCAAGGAATCACTTGTCTGACAACTATAAGAGAGCTGAACAACCCACAACAATTGTAAAAAGATAATAATGTACTTAGGTCATTATAGAACGTAACAGTAAATGAGGCCGGACGAATGAATACCAAGTTTTAGTAAGTCTGTTCAACAAATAAGACATTCAACTCTTCAATGTCATACACAGCTGAAAATATATCTATCTTTTTCTCCAGATGGAACTTGATTGTTTTTGTTGCAAATTCCTAACACGCTGTTCTCTGAACTTTTTTCAGCTATTCCCATGATATCCTAAGTAAATTCCATTTGTGCTGTTCTTTATTGAGGTTTCAGCTCTAGTGTTAAGGTGTAATTTTGCTATGAATTGTTTGCCATTGTACAACAGGGGCGTGTCATGTTTGAAATGCTAGCAAAGGATGTGCTAGGAAAGAGGAGATGAAAACATGGAGTTGTACCGAAGATACTAGACATGCATAAAATCTTACACTAGTTTTTCAGGGGGAAGTCCACGAGTTCAGATATCATCATTCCTAAAGGATACAAGTGTAACCAAGTTCTGATTCAGGCACAGTATCATGAAAGGATAAAAGAGGAGAAAGAGATGAAGAAGACAAGACTATGCAAAAGGAGACGAGGTCTATCTTCAGTGTTTTAACAGCATTCACCAGGCATGGAGGCTGAAAAGATTGGTGTGACAAGGGAGTTAGAACGTAGAGTGTGTGCAGCACAAGCACTGTAGGGAAGAAACGCAAAGCTACGCAGGGAAATAAGGGGTATAAGTTAATAATACAAGTTATGGGTATAAGTTTAGTCAGGGGCGATTCAGGTTGGATGTTAGAAAGAATTTCTTCTCTGAAAGGGTTGTCAGACACTGGAATAGGCTGCCCAGGGAGGTGGTTGAGTCCCCATCCCTGGATGTGTTTAAGAAAAGGGTGGATGAACTACTTAGGGATATGGTTTAATGGGAGATTAGGGACGGTTGGACTGAATGATCTCTAAGGTCTTTTCCAACCTAGAAAATCTATGAAATCTATGAAAAGGAAATGAAGAAGCACAGCTATGTTCATGAGGACTGTTAGTGTACATCTCCTGTGGAAACATGCTGCTGTGAACAGTGCTGATGGCAGAGCTCCTCCTGACCTCAGTGGCGCAGAAGTAGACCTCAAGACCTATTGCAGCTTCCCAGCTCTCCCACATGACCAGTTTTTCTCTTGCCAGGACTGCAGTCCTGTGGATGTTTGCTGCGTTTTGTTTTCACTCAGCAATTCACCTTGGAAGCCATCCTACTTCTTTGTTTTGATAAAATGCAGCCTGATTGCTTGCTGTCCACTTAGCTACTTGAAACTCAGCTTGTTTTTCCCAAACTTTTTTGGGGAAAAAACTTTTCAGAGTCTTCAGCCAAAGCTTCCTTTTCGGCTCTTCTGAGTCATTACACTTACATTCTGGCAGAGGCAGATTTTTTTTTTAGAGTGGAAAAGATGTGTTAAGTCCCCACACGTGTGCAGGTCTAGACAGCCAAATGTCTCTGGCATGTGATGAGGCAGACACTGGTTTGCTGGCAGTGCCTCAGTCCAGCCAGGCTGCCGTTACTTTTTCTTTTTTAGCAAACCAGTTCAGTAAAGCACTTAGGTGCCAAACAGTAGCCATATGCTTAAATGTTTCACTGCATTTGAACTGTGTTTTCTGTTCATCACCTCCAAAGAAGCTGTGCGCTTGCTGATAATTCCTTCTGAAGTCAGTATGGCAGATAAGAGGAACTGACATAAAAACCTAACAGAGTCAGGAAAGCCAGTATTGTTGAGAACGAGTTTGAGCCTTAACGGAGTTTTTGAGCTATGAAAAGCTCTGAAGTCACGTTTATCCTCAAACTTTCTATAATTCAGGATTTTGAAGCTTCTCTTTGCATCTCCTAGCCTCATTGGGACCAGAGCGGAAGGACATTACTGGAAGAGACTGGCTGTGGTTGCAAGCCTGCCAGCCAAGTTTTGCAGATTCCAAAGATTTTTCTGACAAGCATGCAACACTGAACTCTTGTCCAGATGGTTTGTGGTTTACAAGCCACTAGTTACAATAATGAAGGTACAGATGTTGAACTGGAAAGAACTGCTCAGTGGTTAAGGCATTTGCCTCAAGGCTAGGCTGACTGCATGCAGCCCCCTGCTCTGCCATTGCTTGCTTGCCTGTCTTACCGTGGACAAGAGACCAAGGGTGCAATTCATATTCATGCTGTCCAGTCAATGGATAGAAATAGGTGCTTTCGGATGAAACTCGCTCCAGCTGTGTCTCTCTCCCTTCCTTCGACCGTCTTGGGAGCCTCGATGAATAGCTTCAGTGCCCAACTTAGAGAAATAAAGCCAGGTGCCATGAATTCCAGTCTGTGTCTCTGGGCACCAGCCCTGTGTCAGTGTAACACTTTCTTAACTTACATGGGCTTTTTAAGGCTAAACAAATGAAAAGTGATGAGATGCTCAGCAGCCATGATGAGAGGGGCTATATCGGCAGCTATATTCAGACAGAATGTTTCTAGTGGATGTTACTGAGTGCCCTTGCTAGATGCGAGTCATCACTTCACTGTCATCACTGCTGGTCCAGAGACAAAGCCAGAACGTGGCTGGTAAAATGTCCTTTGGTACAAGTACCAGGCAAGCTGTATCCCTTTTTTTTGTGGTCTTATAACCATTTGGTGGAAGGACTCAGCAAGACAGGTTGGTGGTCACCCACACATACCTTGGAATTTTTGATCTAAGCAGTCAGCCAAATTTCCCTCTAAAGGTATGGATGCAGCTTTGGAGACATAGGTTGAATGCTCAGAATGTTCAAGGTAGTGCACTGAAATACATTTGGAGACACCTTAATGATGATGGACAGATGAACACTTTTGCTTGAACAGTGGAATGGATTCATTGATTATATCAAAACTTTGACTTCTTTAATTCTGTTTATATTCTGAAACTTACTAAATTGAGTGAAAATGGGTTCCCATGGGCTTCAAAAGGCTCTGGTGGTTTTGATAGATCCAAGATCTCATGAAAACAAGTATTTGTATCCTAAGTTACTCTTAGGATTATGACAGCAGGCAGTGTACTATTATATTAGAGAAGCAATAATTGTTCTGACTGAAATGTTGCTTTCCTACCTTACAGGGGAACGAAGCAACTTTGGAAAAGTGAATTCAAAAAATCTGGGCCTTCCCTATGACTACTCTTCAGTGATGCACTATGGCGCGTAAGCTGTTCTCTGAGATGTCTTTTCAAAGGAGCAAAAAGCCTTCAGATCTTCTGCTCAGATCTAGGAAGAAGGAATTGCTCTGTGCGGGGAATTACTTTTGCTGTTCACTTAAAATTGAGTGCAAGGACATAATTAAGGGTGAACATACTTCCTTTGTCAGCAGGATTCCTGGAAAACAGAGTTGATATGGACAGAAGAAAAAGTTAGGCCAATGTTTTCTTCAACTGTACTTCTGTCTCTTGCTAGAGGCCTTTGACATGGCTATGGTCCAAAGTCTAACTCTACTGAGTCACTGATGTAAAACAGTTCTGAAGTCTAAATGATGTCATTAACATAGTAACAGCTGATCACAGACAACAATATATAGATACAGGGAGAAGAAAGATGGAATTTTTTTAACTCATTGAGATGTTGTCTGCTGCCTCATGTTCATCGGGGAACACTGTCTAAGCTTGCATTTTAGTCCATAACATACAAGCTTGTATCATGTACCTTCTGCTTTATTTCCACTAGCAAGTAAGAACTTCTAATCAAAACCAGGAAATAAAACTTGTCTAGCAGAAGGCAGGAAATTGCAGATAGCAAATAGACAACTGGTAACTGAGACAGAACAACTCCTGCTCCTCTGCCTCATGAAGGTGGGATTCAGTTCATTTTGCCAGGACATTGGTGAAAGCTCTCCTCACTCAGGACAGTGCCACTTTTTCTTGTTTCTTCCTTTCAGCTCCTGCACACAAAATGGGTGCCACTCTGGTCCTCTTTAGGGAAGACTAACTGTTCTCTGAGAAGCTTCTTTCCCTTTTCCATTGAAATTCTGTGCATGTGGTAAAGGAATATGATTATGCAGTTAGAGAACTTCACTGCTTAAGAGAAGTGATCGAGAAACATGATTTCCTTATTTCTACAGGTATGATTTCTCCAGCACGCCAGGGAAACCAACGATTGTACCAGTTCCTGACCCCTCTATACCCATTGGGCAGAGAGAAGGGCTGAGTAACTTGGATGTAGCTAAAATCAACAAGCTCTACAAGTGCAGTAAGTGCTGTAGATAGAAGGCATGTGAATCCTTATATCGCTGATGTCTGTAGGCACTGTCAGACATCCCCCAAAGGAACTCAGCCCACAGTCCTTTCAATACATCTCTCGGTCACCCTACAAGAGTGCTGGTAAGCGTGTGGCAACAGACCTGTCCCAAGCTGCTGCCTTCTTGGAAAAGACAATTTACTTTCAGTAATTCACTGTCATTCTGAGTTATCCTCACCTAGTCCTTGCTCTTCGACATAAGCAAAACCCATCAGAGAAATCATGGTTGCTACCTCTGTCAACTTCTCATTTCAGGAAAGCTCTGAAGGTTGCAAAGCATGCAAGCTGTTCTCAGCCAGGATTATAGCTTAGAGTCATGTGCATCAGTAGTGCCAGCAGGTTTGTGATTTCTTTCAATTAGAAAATGACTGGAGGGCTGTAAGTATGGGTGCCATTTAGGCTGATGAGAACATCTCTTTGAGGGGGAGAGGCAAAGGCTTTTTGTATAGTTATCTACTTTCTTGCCCCATCCATTTCTTAACTCATCACTGTGATATCTTAAGGTCTAGAAATACCTAGCATTCCTCTGTAGCAGGACCTTTTCAGCTGGGATGCACAAAACACAGGTAAAACACCAGATGTGCTCCTGCAATGCACGGGTTTTGCCTCGACTCCCAGTACACAGGCTAATTGTTTTATAAAGTATTAGAATTTTTTGAGATGTTATTCAATCAGTTTCTACCAAAACAGCTAGAAACATTAACATGACCTAAATATTAGTGTACCGAATTCTGCTCTGAATTGTGTTAGGGCTTAGTTAAATAAACATCATTAATTAGTGGGAATCAGCATTCCTTCAGTTGCATAGTGAGGTACAGAAATCATTGTGGAGAGTGATTCCTCCCAAATTCTTAACTGCAGATAAGGCAAGTTTACAATTTAAGTGTCTGTCATGGTCTCGAAGATAGTGATAACAAGTATTTAATGATATTTATTCTTGATAGTGGGGCTGGGAATGAATCACACTTCAGTACCATTATTATGTAATTTCATAATTAGATCTGTATGCTTCAGAAGAAAAGGGCTAAATTTAAGAAAAAGGTGAAAAACTCAGGGGCTAAAAAGAGGACAAAAGTTCCAGTTGTCTCAGGGAAAGGAGCAAGAGAAAAATGTCATAGATTCACATGTTAAGATGTCATATATTCATATTTTGTAATCTGGGGAGTTACACATAGTGCAATAAATGAAGACTACATGTGGAAGAATGAAAGACTTAATGAGATCAGACTTTTATACCAGTGACTAGGTCTGTAGCCTGGCTTCCGTGCTTTTTGTTATTGTTTTCCTCCAGTGACCCAGTGACTACCCCTCCTTTGCTTTGACAGAATCTAGTTTTCAAGCTTGATTTTTGCATACGTTTATGAATACACACACATTTGCTGACAGGAACTGATGTACTGATGTCATTGAAACGACTCCTGTGATTGAGGTTAAGGAAGTTCATGAAAGACCCAGGCCTTTTTAGTAAACTAAAATATGTGAGTGAAGCCCTACTGTCTTTAAAAAGACATCTGAATCTGAAGCAGATAAGTACCTTAACTAGTTTTATTTCACAGGTTTTGAATAACTTTTACACTAGGAACATCAACACAATTACAAGCATTATAAATCATTTCTCTTTTACAATCTTGACTGATGCAAATGGTTGGAGAGACTTGTCAGGCATTTCCAAAAAATTTTTGTGCAGTTTTCATTCTCTTCAACACTGTTTGGTTGTTCCCTTCAGATTGCTGTAGTTCTGTGCTGCCTAAATCCAAAGGCTCGTTCTCCTCCGTCAATTACCCATCCCCATACCCGAACAATAGCAACTGCCTGTGGCTGATCCGCATCCATCGAAGTAAGGTAATTTTTATTAGGAGAAAAAAGGTTTGAACTAATGTCAAGGCTACACAGCATTATTTCATTATTATGACTACCCTCTGAGAGTCATTTTCAAGGACCAAGACATTTATTTTGTTACACAGTGAATGAAAAGACAGTCTCAACAATTTTCATAAGACTTATTAAGGCTATCAGATGCATTATTTAACTTGACTTTTATCCAGTTAAGATTGGATGGCTTTTCAAAGACAAGCAATAGTCAAACATCAATCACTGGGCTTGGTAACAGGGTAGCCAGGTGAAATTCTATGCTCTTTTTATACAGAAAGTAAAATTTCAGTGATACATGGATAGTAAAATGAATACGAAGTCCTAGTTCACTTCATAATAATTAGATGGTTTGAATCTTTCCCTGCGTACAGCATTAAACCCAACATCTGTTTTCTCGTTTCTCAAGATTTTCCTGCAGTTTGAGGCTTTTGATCTCCAACCCTCCTCCGACTGTTCTTCTGACTATATAAAAATTTACAATGGAAACAGCAAGAATTCCCCTGTCTTGCTGGACAAATACTGTGGAAAAGGGCCACTGCCCTCCTTAGTGGCGTCTGGATCTACAATGCTGGTAGAGTTTGCAAGTGATGAGAGTGTTACAGCCACAGGATTCAGAGCCTCCTACAACAGGGGTATGAAGACTTCTTTACAGAGCTTGGAGAACAGCATTAATAGCATTTGTATGGAAGAACTGAATGTACTCCAGAGTAGATTTTTTTCTGTGTTATTCTTTACACTTCCATGGCAATTGCTAATGCAGAAGGCTAGGCAATGATAGGGAGGAAGGTTGGCAGGAAACAGAAAATGGGATGCTGCATGGGTGTCATGTTAGTCATTCTGAGAACCCACTCACATTCTTCTCAGAGCCTCTACTAGGCTTCTTCACACCTTTAGAACAATTTATTTAAATAAAAGCAATGCAATGATTGTAACTAACAGGAGCAGTGCAGCCAAAGAGTGCAAAGACTGCAGAACTCAACGAGAAATCTCAACCAATAAGATGTAAAGCCAGTATCTGGGCAATGTGTTATTCAAGGTTTTGTGGTATTTTATGCAGTGGGAGAGATACTAACCTTGGGTAACTTATGCTTTCTGAATTAAAGGCTTTTGTTATGTTACATGAAACACAGTGCTTACTGTAGTCACTTGAGGGATATCTGTTTGGTGAACATGCAAATGCATTAAGGACTGCTGGATAAAATTCTGTTGTGCTGCAAAATGCTTTCAGTTATAAGGCAGTAGCCCAAATAACTTGTTACTGCTTTATCTTGACTCAAAATGCAAACTTTTTTAAAGTATAAATTGACGAAGTCTTAGAAATGTGTCATTTTTACTCTTTTTGCATTAGTCTTGATGGAATCATTTCTAGATAGCATTAGATCTAGTTGAGAATGTAATTTTGAACACTTGAGCTAATTCTTTTCTGAAAGTGCAGTAAGTTAGTATTGTTGGAATGCTATGCTAATACAGTAACACTCAATTGTAAAGACAGATATAGCTTTAGCTGCAGCTGTTCCCTGTCCTCCAAAGGTTATTTAGCAGCCATGTTTTTAGTTCCTTCAGTACAGCTGCTAATACAAATTCTAAGCAAATAAAATATTTCAGCAGTAGATTTTTGTGGTAGCACGTTTTTTATTGGCTTGAAGAAAGAATACAATAGAGTATTAGCAAGCTCACTTCTACTGCCAAAATACTCCTGTTAATATGCTTTTCTCTGTTTTCCCCCTTTACTTCTTAGTGAATTGTGGAGATACTTTCACAGACTCAAAGGGAGTCATCACCACTCCAAACTACCCCAATAAATACCCCAAAAACCGAGCATGCTTCTGGGTCATCAGTTCTCCAGTAGGATACAAGGTAAGGCACAGATGAATTAATTTGTGGGTTTCATCAGTCTTCTGTAATGGAATCTCGTTTTGCCTTGGAGAATAACAGTTGTAATGTCACTTTTTGAGCAGGCATTCTCAGAATAAAAATCTGAACACAAAAATCCGGTTTAAGAACTTATGCTGGATCTTGGTGTCTGAGGTATTCAGAAAGGGAAAACCTTTACACATGCATGTGAACTCTTAAGAATTTAGCTTGTACCAGTAGGCTTTGTTCAGAATAATCCCTAGGTAAGAGTTCCCACTGGAAAACAGAAACGTTGCACAGATGCTGTTTTTATATTTCTCCAGAGAAAAGAATTTAAAGTGTGCGAGATCAATCTTGTCCCTTGCTTCTCCTTCCAATCCAAATGCTGATGAACTAAGCAAATAATTTGCTACTAATTTGCATTATAATATGGGGTCAGGATGTGGTGCAAACACAGAATAAAAAACGGTGCCTGCACATAAGGAATTTAGACTTGTTACATACAAAGGGTAAGAGAGACGGATATAACTTGGAAGCAAAGTGCTTTGGTTGTATTTTCTCCAGATATCTCTCAAAATGTTATCCTTTGAGCTGGAAGATAGTGACAGATGCATCTATGACTACTTGCTCATACATGATGGAAGCCGACCTACATCACCTGCAGTTGGCCCTTATTGTGGGACAGAGAAGGTTGCAGACTTTACTTCCACTGGGAACTTTGTGTTGGTTGAATTTCACAGTGATATAGTTTGGGAGTTGCCCGGATTTGTGATGAGTTATACTTTTGGTAGGTAGTACTATACAGATGGGAGTTGGAAAACACAGAATGAAAGTAAGAGATGAGCTAGCCACAGGTAAAAGTCAAGATACCACTGATTTCAGCAAAAAATACAGCTCTCTGATACCTTTAATGAGCTTGAAGCTTGATCTCTTAGCCTTATTTCTACAGTAGAGTAATTTGCATGGTGAATTATGGACAAAAATGTTCCTGCCCATGGGATGCTTCTGTCTGAGACTGTAAGCTTTTTGTTATAGCATTCCCATTGCTGGTGTTGCATAGCAAACTACAATAGCAGAACTGAAACTATGTAAGCAGATTTTCAAGAATTTCTAGTGTTAGAAACTGTGTCCATAAAAATTTCAGAATATGGCTATGTAGCAACTTCAATCTGTATTCTGACAAATGTTATTACCCAACCCTAATGTGCATTCCAGTATGCATACACAAAACCTTCAGGCACATGTCTGTTTATGCTTTAAAGCCAAGCTCACGTATACAGTTCACATAGGCACCTTAGCTTAGCCTGTAAATCACCACTTTACACTGAAAGTGCAAACTAGAACGCTTGTACAGCATCTCACCTCAAAGAATTGCACTACTCCTCTGAGATGAACCAGGTCAGGGAACAGATTTAACTAAAGAAATGATTAAGAGTGGCAGGAACAAGCAGTGAGGGAGAGGGAATGGAGTGAAGCACCTATTGTTGCCACTTTGCTGTGGCCTGAGTCAGGTATTGAAATTGTCCATGGGGTATTACCAAAATATTTTTAAAAAATGAGGCCTGAAAACCTAATGCAAAGTCCATTGAATATAAATGGAGCCAGTCACTTTGGAGAACATACTAGGTGTGAAGTATCTTGTCTGTAGAGAGAAATCTTCCACCTCTGAGGAGATGTCTGAAGAGGACAAAGAAATCAGCACAGTAGACCGCTATCACTTTGCCTTGATTTGTATTCAGAACGAAATGCCAATGCCAAACTGGAAGATGCCAAAATGTAAGAAATAATAAAAGTTCTTGCTGCAATTATGCCTTTGTGAAGAAAAGCACATATAAAATGCCAATTTGCTTTCCTGGTGTTAGGAAGGCAGCCAAGAAAAATCTGAATTATGCTGACTTTTGGTTTTGGGTTTGTTGGGTTTTTTTTAAGGATCTGTAATGTTCTCCTTTTTAAGCATTGGTTAATTTTCACTCTCAGAAGAATGATAATTGATAAGTTGTGGACATGAGGGTCTAGAGCTCGCCTGCATCATGGTGGGAAAGTGCACACACAGCAGGCAACAAATATTTGTAGTTCTTTCAAGCTCCTGTCTTCTAGCTATAAAAGGTATTCCTTCATTAAATTTGGCTCACTGTTTAGCTTGCATCCTCCAAAAAGGTGCCAACAATTTCAGCAGCATGAGAGAAAATTAAATGCTATTTCTATTTTTAACCTCAACTTCAGACTGTACAATAGCTAATTCTTCTCCCCGAGTCTGAGGACTTTCATGGAGGTGCAAAAGTAATAACCCCATGACAATCATTATTTATACAAAGCTGAATGGGTCCCTATTTTAAATATAGAGTGCTGAGCAGCTTTGTAACTTACTACTTTAGATTCCCTTCCCACAGCCTGATGTGGGACTCTACATAGGTCCAATGTTTTAGATCTTCACCCCTATTTGGTAAAGGAGCATGAACAACATGTTGAAACAGCAATGTACTGCATATAGGAAATATTGGTCTTGCAACTTGTTCCTAGAAATATGGTTTTAAGTAGGAGTCCGAGACGTGGCAACGTGACTTGATCAGGGTGTGTTATTTGTAAGCGAGCCCTTCCTGCAGGCAAGTGGTAAGCCCTAAGGGCACCCAGCCTGGTTAAAGCTTCCAATCTCATTTGTTTTGAAAACATGAATTCAACAGTAATGATGTAGAAATGCATTCTTGAATATACAGACAGGCTGAAATATAGTGTGATGAATAAGTTCTCTCTTTCATAGGAAAGGCTTTTCAGTCTGAGATCTAAAGGTTCTGCTTTTCAGGAGTTCTGTTAGGGGTCCTTGTTAACTGCTTTCCTTAAGGGATATGCACATTAGCTGGAGCTTCCACACATGCTCCAAACCACCTCCTGACCCTCTGCAGATAACAAAACCTTCAGCTTTCCTCTAATTATTGCTAAAATCTCTGGTTTCCAGCCAGTAGTCTCCAATTTAGTTATACGTCACTCATCTACAAATCTGTGGCCCACCGAACAGGAAAATGCAAGATACAAAACATCCTGATGAACGGCATCCTTCTTATAATGACTGCTGCTCATTTTCACCCACGGTTAGTTGCAAATCTTACATGGAGAAGCTGTAGAGTTCACAAACCCTGCTAAGAGCTTAAGTGTACCCAACTGCACAGTGTAAAGGGACTTGCATCTAAAAACACAATAAGCCTCTCACAACAGGCATTGCCCATATATAAAAATTATTTATAAGCTTTCTATTAACATTCTCATTCTGAGATGTATGAATTAAGAGTGACCAGCTAGTAGACACAATGGACAGTATAGACAAAAGTTTAGAATTCAAATACCACCATAGGAGGATTTTGAGAGGTTCTAATGAAAGTTCAGCAATCACTTAACACACCTTTGAAATCCAACGTGTAAAGATGTAACTTTTGAAAAAACAGAGGAATCTAGAAGTGATGAATATACACATCTATTCCCATATATGCACATACCTCATGACACAAACAGGTATTTGACACTGTCCTGCACAACATCCTTGTCTCTAAATTGGAGAGACATGGATTTCATGGATAGACCACTCAGTGGATAAGGAATTGGCTGGATGGTCGCACTCAAAGAGTTGCGGGTTGGTATTTGGACTGACGCTGTTTAACATCTTTGTCAGCGACATGGACAGTGGGATTGAGTGCATCTTCAGCAAGTTTGCAGGTGACACCAAGCTGTGTGGTGTGGCTGACATGCTGGAGGGAAGGGGTGCCATCCAGAGGGACCTTGACAGGCTGGAGAGGTGAGCCTGTGCGAACCTCATGAAGTTCAACAAGGCCAAGTGCAAGGTCCTGCACATGGGTCAGGGCAATCCCAAGCACAAGTACAGGCTGGGCAGAGAATGGATTGAGAGCAGCCCTGAGGAAAAGGACTTGGGAGTGCTGGTGGATGAGAAGCTCAACATGAGCCGGCAATGTGCGCTTGCAGCCCAGAAAGCCAACCGTGTCCTGGGCTGCATCAAAAGCAGCATGGCCAGCAGGTCCAGGGAGGTGATTCTGCCCCTCTACTCAGCTCTCATGGACCCCACCTGGAATACTGCATTCAGCTCTGGGGTCCCCAATACAAGAAGGACATGGAGCTGCTGGAGCAGGTCCAGAGGAGGGCCATGAGGATGATCTGAGGGCTGAAGCACCTCTCCTATGAAGACAGGCTGAAAGAATTGGGATTGTTAATCCTGGAGAAGACACCGGGGGGACCTTCTAGCAGCCTTCCAGTACTTAAAGGGGGCCTACAAGAAAGCTGGAGAGGGACTTTTTACAAGGGCATGTAGTGATAGGACAAGGGGTAATGGATTTAAACTGAAAGAAGGTAGATTTAGATTAGACCTAAGGAAGAACTTCACTCTGAAGATGGTGGAAACACTGGAACAGGTTGCCCAGAGAAGTTGTGGATGCACCATCCCTGGAAGTGTTCAAGGCCAGGTTGGATGAGGCTTTGAGCAACCTGATCTAGTGGAAGGTGCCCCTACACATGGCAGGGGGTTTGGAACTAGATGATCTTTGAGATTTCTTTCAACCCAAACCATTCTACGATTCTATGATTACCTTAATTGCATGCAAAAATAGATTTGTGCTGAGAGAGATCCACTTCCACAAGCCTGTGCATGTGGAAGAGACAAAAGTGTTTGTGTCCATATATTCCAATCTTACCTGCTTTGGGACCATCCAGGTTCCTATCTGGGAAGCATATCAGGGCCTTTGAATAGGATGCTTTTGTAATCTATAAGAACCAGAAGAGAGATCTGTCAGTTACTGCTGTAGGAAAAAAAAACCAGCCTGGAATAAAGCACTACAGAAACACACAAAAAATGTACTTCTCAGAGATTTTCTTTGTGTTTAATTTAAAACACATTTCCCTTACAGAAGTAAATAACTGTGGTTGTGATGACACTTACTTGCATGACTAGAACCCCAATGCCTGACAGAAAATGAGGGCAGCTTTTGGCATGCTGATAGCAAAGTCAGTCCCTCATCTAGAAAAAAATTAGCCTACTGAAACAGCAAAAGAGTACTGAAACACTGTTTTCAGTTTCACTATGGTGATGATCTGCCCTGTTTATCACACTGAACTGCAAGGAGAAGCCTGGGAGATTTAGTAGGCAGATGGCCACATTTTGAATTAATTTGAAATTTTTCAGACCAAAAGTTTTACTCCTAGATACATTCCACTGTAGTAATCAAGCCCCAAGATTATCAAGGCCAAGTCCAATACACTGGGGCACAGTTTCGCAGCAGGTTAGAGAAGAACACAGGATTTGCAGCTCTAACTATGTAGGACAGAGAACATACAACTTCCTGTGCAACAACTGAGTTTGGCAAGGAGAAGACATATGAACCAAAGACCATTTAATCTCTCCTACACTTCGAACAGAAATTGAAAACCTTACGGGCTAAGCCATCACATCGTTTTTTGGTAGTCAGAGTTCCTTTTATCATGGGAAACGTGCAGGCAAGAGAAGAAATAAAGAAAAGCTGCTGCTGTTCAGTTGCCAAGTGGCCTTCTGGTGCAGGAGCTGAAAGAACTGCGGGGGCCGGGCCCCCTCTGGTGGACACCAGGAGGAAAACGTGAATGTGCCTCGTTCCTCTTCTCCAGTCACCAGGGAGTGAGGTCGTCTCCTCCCACGGTCACAACTCCCAGTTCCATCTGGCAAATTCAGCCGAGGCCTTTCTGAATAGGTACGTTCAATTTCTTTAACTGTCTTGCTCCCTCCCGCGCACCTCTACTGGTGGTGATCGCTCATATGAAGTTTTTTTGGGTCACTGCTTGCATTTTGTATTAAAGAGCAGCACTCCAAATTGCACCTGTCAATTGGTAGGTTGCACTGTAACATTGATTGAAATTTCCTCTTTTCCCACTGACCAGCTCAATAGTGAAGATAACATCAAATCAAGTCTTTTATTTCGGTAAATTCTGGTTTATATTTGTCTCGATTCCCTGCTTTATGCCTACAGTACCTGGAATTTCCAGATCATCTCTAATACAATTGCTGGACAGGTGCAAAGTTTAGCTTCCAAGTTTTATATAGTTTTTTATATAACTTGTCTTTCTAAAGTTATTTACTATTAAAAAACCCAAAAGCTTGAGAGGGGAAACCCCAATTTTTTTCCTTTAAGTTTAGCTTTGTTTGGATATTCATGAGTCTTACTTCCTTGAACAGATCAGTCAGTTTCTTAGTTTAATTGTGTAGGTCTTTACAGTGTGGACTCATCTAGTAAACTGGAAAGAATGCAAAATGTAATCGCAAACCCACGCAATTAACAAGATGACTCATGGGAACCAGTGGTACCCAGAACTACACTCAGTAAGTTTTTTTTGCAAACACTGTTAGACATTCACTTCTGAAGGAATGCAAACAAACACTGTCTGAAGTTTTCATAGAATCATAGAATAGTTTGGGTTGGAAGTGACCTTAAAGATCATCTAGTTCCAAGCCCCCTGCCATGGGCAGGGGACACCCCTACCCGAGTTTCCCCAAAGCCTCATCCACCCTGGCCTTGAACACCTCCAGGGATGGGGCAGCCACAACTTCTCTGGGCAACCTGTGCCAGTGCCTCATCACCCTCAGAATGAAGAATTTCTTACTTATATCTAATAAAAATCTACTCTCTTTCAGTTTAAAGCCATTGCCCCTTGTCCTATCACTACATGCCCTTGTAAAAAGACCCTCTCCAGCTTTCTTGTAGATTCCCTTTAAGTACTGGAAGGCTGCAATAAGATCACCCCGGAGCCTTCTCTTCT